AAAAAAAAAAAAAAAAAAAAAAAACAAAAGTCATGAAATTGAAGATTAGATAAAATACAGAGTTTGGAATTTTGTGAAAAGTTTTTGTCTTGGCGATATTATGAATGTTATGAAATGAACTAGAAAATTAGGGGTGAAAGTTTTATATATTAATTTAGACAGATATGCTCATGTATTTTGAAGTGTTTTTTTTTTCTTTTTTGGGTACTGGGGATTGAACTCAGGTCTTTGCGCTTGCAAGGCAGGCAGCAGCACCACTGAGCTAAATCCCCAGTCCTATGAAGATTTTAATAGTATTTTTGTACCATAAATAAGTAATCATTCACAGGATTACTGAAAAGAAATAAGAGGAAGCCACCCTTAACTTTCCAAGTTACTATTTTTTACTGGCCAATTCCATATAATATAGTCACATTATTTGCCTTAACTTGCACAAAAAATTCCCTATTACAAACCTAAATATTGAATCAGGAAAATGCCATTTAGCACATTTGCATTCAAACATCTTTTACATCAGTGAATTTTAAACTTGATTTCACAATACAATCACCGAGCAAGCTTTTAGAAAATACTATGACCAGACCTTATTCTACACTAAACTAATTCAAGGCCTCTGGGAGAAAACTTTTGGCACTTTTTGAAATACCTCTCTCACAATAGGGAAAAATCAACAAAACCAAGAAAAGGCTCTTTGAAAAGATTGAGAAAATTGGCAAACCCTTAGCCAAGTTGTCTCACAAAAAAGAGAGAGAAGACTATTATGTTAGAACAACATGTACAATGACCTATGGTACTGATACCATGGCTAGGGAGGAGGACGTTCAGAGATATTATATAACTTGCCCAATATCACAGGCTAGGTGGTATCAGAGGGGACCCCCTCCCACGAACACGCTGCTTCACTATACTGTACAAAGCTACCCTTAAGTGGATGACTTTCCTCTGTGGGTCCTTATCAAACTTCAACAGAAAACTAAAAATTGATTTAAAATATGTTTTTAAAAATTTGAAGTCAGTGATGGGACAGTTATTTACAGATTCGTGTGGCTTAAGGCGATGATTGCAAATGTCACTTGCTTGCATGCACCTAATGCCATTCACATCCAGGCTTTAACAGGGTGACATTTCACTTATTGTCAGCTGAGCTACCACCATCCTTTCCTTGTCAAGTTAATTCCAAGCACGCTCTTTTTTTCAGAGTTTCCCTTTCTCTTTTCCATATATTTTCCTAATGTATTAATTCAATTTATCACCAAATACACCATTTTCCACGTCCACAGATTGTTTTTCCCCCTCATTTGTCTCTTTAGTCCATAATTTCTACTTGTAAGTAGATTTAAACAACTTTCCTTTTTCCCTGAAGTATTCAAAACACATTTTGTAAAAATACTTTGTGAAGAAATTCTTCTTAATATTATCCACAGGAAAGTGAGGGAAGTATAAAAGAAAAAAGACAGATAAAGAAAATGAAGGAAAAAATAAGAAATGGCAAGTTAGTTGGAATTCCCATATCTAGTTAATGTTTTTTGTTCAAATACTTTTAATTAATACTATATTTTCCCAAAGGTAAGATCCAACTGGAAAATTAGCCCAAGTATGATTTTTAAGCCCTACCACCAAAATAGACCCCAGTTAAGATCATCAGCTAGATGGAGGGATTTAGTATGTCCATTGCAATACCCAACAGATGTAATGAATTATAAAATAATAATATTAACATATATAATTAAATATAAATAATATTAACAATGCTTAAAATAAGTGATCATATAAATTATAATTAAGTATTTGTAAATACTAGAGTGGATGCCTTTGGATGAGAAGTAAACATCTACGTAAACAGACGCATTCAAGACTTACTGCTGAATGACCAATCACCGCACAGATACAACACACGAATACTGCATGCATTTGATAATAAACAGAAATGGTTGTGTCTAATATGCTCTTCACAATTAAATACATTGTCCATTGTAACCGATGTATTTAATGTACGCCTGTGAAATAAAGAAACGTTTTCTGAATCTTGGTACCTGAGATTTGTCGTTGCTTTTGTGCGGACCATCATTCTTAACTGTTACCATTATTGTTGCCACTGGTGTATCTTCAGCTAACACTTGATTTAAGGGAAACCTCGTGAAGCAAGAGGTCATGACTTGGGTGAAGAATTCATGGGTTACAATCACTGACAGCTGGGTTGGCAATGCACTGCAAGCAGGCTACATGGACAAAAGTTTCTCATTTCAGGAGAGATCTATTGCTGGACCTGACAGATTGGGGCCAATAGTTCTACAGGAAATTCAGGCTGAATTTCAGGGTTTGGAAGGTTATGACAATGTTCAAGGAGAAGATGACATGATTGTATTTGAGTAAATGTAGATTTTTGTACATGAATAAATGTAGATTGTTGTACATGAAAAAAATAAGACATCCCCTGAAAGTATACCTTATTGCATCTTTTAAAGCAAAAGATTCTACAAGATTTGGTCTTATTTGGGAGGAAGCATGGTAATAGTGACAGCCATCATTGATTGCAGGCATATTAGAAGCCAAATCCTTACCTTATTAGGATAAACAGTTGCCTGTTTGTTTTTGTACTGGGGATCAAACTTGGGACCTTATGCTTATGAGGCAGGCAGCAGCACCACTGAGCTAAATCCCCAGCCCTTCCTTACCTCATTAAACAGCTATTTTAGTCCTGTCCTCCCCCAAAAAAAATTTGAGGTGGCTACATTTATCACTATCTTACAGATGTAGAAATAGGCATTCATAAAGATAGGTAAATTTTATTAGTCAATTTTCATTTTCTGTAACAATTATCTAAAAATCCATCACTTTAAAGAGGGAGGATTATTTTGACTGTTCTATTCAGAGGTTTCAGTCCATTGCCTCTTGGTCCCACCATCTTTGGGCCCGTGGAAAGCAGTGTACCATAGTAGAAGCTCTCCCGGAAGATCCTCACTTCATGATGGCCGGGAAGAAAAAACAAAGAGAGGAAGGGGTCCCAATATCCCCTTTGAGGCCAAACTCCAGTAACCTAACCTCCTCTCATTAGGCCCCATCTCTTAATGGTCCTACCAGGTCTCAGTAGCAACCCCACCCCCCAAGATCAAGTCTTTAACACAGGGGCTTTTGGTAGGTATTTTTCCAAACCACAACACTTGAAAACTATAGATACTTGAAATGTCTGACTCCAAAGTTGATGCCTCCCCACTCTTCCTGCAAAAATAAAAATATTGCTCTGTTTAATAGCCCTTACTCTTTACAGAGAACATGTTGGGATTATTTTCTACTTTTTGAGGCTTATCATAAGGCAGAATTCCTGGTACTAATGGCTTGATCATCTCTGGCCACTAATACCATCTCTGTTTGTAACTAGAGTGAATCTAAGGAAATGTTTCATGTATGGTGTAAAATAAATGGTCTTCAGTATAAGACTGCCTCAGTTTAGATCGTGATTCTACGCTAATATGTATAAAATATTTAACAGAGTGCTGAATAGCTCTGAGTTTCCATTTCCTTAGTGGTACAATGGTATGACAGTTGTTCCTAATTCATAATGTTATGAGGATTATAACATAGAAATGATGTCTATCTCTTTAGAATAGTGCCTGGAACATTAAACACTGAATACATTTAGCTCTTAATATTGTTACCAATTTTTAAATGTTGGCTTTATTTTATGTTTATCTACACATTATGGTAAGATTTGGAGCGTTTTTATCAATGTGTAGAGAGTGTCTTTCCATCTGCAATCATGGCATAAAATTATACCAGTAGTGCTGAGAAATGATAAGACAGAGAAACCTTTTTCTCCAGTTGACTTTTCTGTGGGCAGTGACATCCTAATTCTCCCGGAGGCTGTATCTGCGAAAGAACAACTCTGCTTAGCCACACTGCCACAGTACATCCTGCAATTTCATGCAAAGTGACTTCACACAAGGAGAAATGTTTTCCTAAAATATGTGCATAGGCTATTGTAATACTTGTTGTTGCAGAATGAAAGCTATTGCTTCCTTTTGCTTCACCCTTCAGTATTTGCTCAGGTGCAATTTGATTTCCACATGACCTGGCTCAGAAAACTTACCGGAGAGTTATAGAGAAATTGTCATTCTGGCCTCTAATAACTTCTCAAACAAAATCACATTCCCTAAAAACTATTACATAAAGCACCTCCGACAAATTTCGCTGTGTATTTGTATCTTATAAACTTCATCAGCAATCTGCCTTTAAGCATGAGCACACTTCTAATCAAGCAGTGAAGCATTCAGAGTACAAAGTTCATCCAAGCTGGAGTGGCAGTGAACTGTTTTGTCCCCCTGGTGAAGGAGCTTGGGTGGAGAGGTTACTGCAGTTGTCCCAAAGTTCTATTCCCTTTGTGCCTGACTGCACTTCCCAAGTGGCAATGAAGAGAAAACTAAAGCAAGATAATGATGATTTACTTACATTAGGGCTCTTAATTCCAGATAAAGAGCTGATTTTTCCAAATGAAAGAAGAGTTCACTGTCTACCAAAGACAGACTTTATTCAAGAACCATATGAATAATGCAATAGTAAGTAACAGGGTAAAGCTCAATTGATACCACACATAGATTTTTAATTTATAAAATATAGAATTGAGGCAAATTATGCAATGAAACATAGAACACATGTCATTTCTGCTCAGTACCACTGTCATCAGCCTCCTCTTAAATGCATGAACATGGATGATTCTCTTACAAGGGCAAAACCTTCTGAATTTGGAGTGCAGCACTAGTAACTTATGTCCCTTTGCTGGTTGCTTTTTAAAATAAATCACATGCATTCCTTCTGATTGTTGTTGGAAATGTTTCACTGACTTTTCACTGCATGCATAGCAACACAAAGAAGAATAGTTAAGTAACTTAAATATGGCCCTTTACTTGCTAATTTAAGCTGAGATATGACTAACAAAGTTTTATAAGTAAATATATTTTCAAGTGCACATTATGTTTTAATATTGCTTTGTTTCAAAAATATAAGACACAGCCTCATTTGTAAATATGTGTGCATAAATATATGTGTTCATATATATTTCTATATTTATCAACACTATGATTTAAAAATAAATATTTAGACAGCATTTACAGTTAACAGGCCAATGAGGCATTTAAAGCATTCTGCAAGCTCAAAAGCCAATATAGTTCTCTGAAAATCTGGATGATATTCCAAATATAGTTACGAGTCATCAGTGATCCAGAATTGATGGTGATATTGCTTTGAGGGAATGTGTAAAAGATAAAACTGAAGAAAAAATTAAGAGAAAAAAGAGGGTGGTCTGGATGTGACACATTATTTAATCACCAGATTTCTACTATGCTTGGGTATCTTGGTCCAAATGATTGGTTTTATGTTGATTCTTACAAGGAAGACATAGACAAAACTAATTTTTGATGCAATGCCTGATATTCATATCCAAGTAAAAATAGACTAACAACCACTCTTCAGGTCTTCTCTTAGCCATGAAGATGTGCTTGCCAGCCTGATTTCTCCATTGCAATCTCTCCTAAATACTAGGTCCAAGTTTATTTAATTCTCTTGTCTGGAAAGACTCCCACAACCTTGGTTCTATGGTGTTGGCTGACTTCAGCTTTATTTTTATTTATTTATTTATTTATTTGGTACCGGGGATCAAACTCAGGTCCTTGTGCTTGCGAAGCAGGCCACCGAACTGCTGAGCTAAATCCCCAGCCCCTTCAGCTTTTTATTTATCATTTTCTTCCAATTATTTCACATATATTTTTTAGGCTGTCCAGACTCAAGAGTGTCTCACTGATTTACTTCACCCATCCATGGTTTTATTTGTATTTTTTACAGGACGGAAAATAACCATCCCGTGAATATCCTCCCCACTCCTCCTCCAACCTCTCTCCCACCTCTCTTTCAAAGAGCACTCATGTACATCTCATGCAACAAGACTTTTTGTTTGCAAGTGGAGCCAGAGATTATCATTACTTTTTGCCAATGACCTGTCCAATAAATAAAGGCTTTAAACAAGTGTTGAAGATTTTTTTCCCGAGTAACAAATTTTAAATTTGAATTGAGATATTTTTTGTTTTTACAGCTGGAAGTGTTTAAGTGATTATTTAGTTCCATGCATTTATTTAATAAAAGCATCTGAAGCCCAGAGACATTGATTTTTCTCCATGTAGTAGTGGCAGAGCTGCAGCCAAGTCCCTGGGCTCAGGCAGGTACTTCCCACAGCTCCACTCAGCCTCTCTGGCACTGCCACCCAAGGGGTGAACATTCCACTGCTGAGTCAGGAGAGAGGAATCCTAAAATCACATTCTTATTTGGGCTCAATCATTAAACAGCACTAATTTTGAACCACCCATTAAAACTGTGACTCACCATATATATTCTTTTACATTTTTAAATTCATAATCCTTAATTTCTCATCAATACATTAAGAGGGAAATTTAAGTATGGTTATGGGGTGTGTGTGTGTGTGTGTGTGTGTGTTACACAACATAAATGCAGATTAAGAGGGATTTAAGTATGGTTATGGGGTGTGTGTGTGTGTGTGTGTGTGTGTTACACAACATAAATGCAGAGGTCCTCTTAAGGCAAGTAGAACTTTTGAAGGCATCAGTTAGAAACTGAGTTTTCTTCAAACAGCAATAGCATGATCAAGAGGGGAAATAAATTTTCTTCAATCTTGAAAGCATTGAGAAGTCTCTATCTCTTAACTTCCAAGAGCATCATTTAATTACCTACAGTGATACCAACTCAGTGGACCTCCTATCTCAATTAAGCAGTAGCGCATGATAATTATCATTAAACTTAATTGCTTTCCCAATTCAGCAACTTCCCTGATCAAGTCTGCCCCAGTTAAGTGGCGTTTATTGAACCACCTGAATCTTGCTTT